AAAGAAGAAATATTCTTTGCAAGTAGGTTAAAAAAATGATGACAACAATAAATAGGAATTATATTCAGATAATCTTTTTTAAGATTTATTCTCATCTTAACCATGACTGAAGAATTGTCAGTTACACATGCAATAACAGAATTAGTAGAGACTGAATTTAATTGAAGAACTTTTTCAAGTTTCTCTTGAAGGAAAATTGCAGTATGACGATTTGCTGATAAGTCGACGATATATAAAATATGCTTTTTTTCTTCTTTTAAGGCTAAAAAGGCATAAATAGAGTTTTGGGATACATCTTGCTATCCATCTAAGTTAATAGTAAGATCGGTAAGAGATGATATCATTTCGAGTTTTTTAGCTAGATAAGCAGAATATGAATTATAAAGAAGTTTAGTATTCAATATTTTTGTAGAAGGTAGACAATAGTTTGGGGCAAGTTCATTAAGAAATTCAAAAAAATATAGGTTTTTGACAAGTTTAAAAGACAAATTGCTATAAATAATAGCATTAAGCAATTTTTTGTCAACTTTAGCTTGTTTCTCTAATAAAAGTGGCTTAACAATCCAACTTGTCAAATTTTCTTGGTGCTTTAATGCAGATAAGAATGAGTTTTCGACTACATTACTTAAACTATAAAAGCTAAGTTAATAAAATTTTCTAATCATTATTAAATTATTTAAATAACATACTTGGAATAATTTTAATCTGAACTAACTAAAGCCTTCTTTTGAGATTTAAGTAAAGAACTAGTAGCTTTCTTAATATAATTAGTTTTTTTAGAAATAGGCCAGTTACCGAATATAAGAATATGAGTATACAATTTGTCAGGTTTGCCAGGTAGCTCGAATTTACAATAGGAACATTTGGCAGTAAATCTATTGCCTGAAATTTTATTTATGAAATGCCAAAAACCAGACCAACAATGATTATGGTTTGCCATGTTAGGAAGAACAAAATCAGGCAATGGTTGAGACTGCATTATGTAAAGTTGAATTTAATTTTTATTACTATAAGTGCTAATTAAAGCTTGAGATGTGTTTTTTTTTAAATAGAACTATTGGAAATTGAGTCAATTTGCGCAATAATTTTTTTTTTTTTTTTTTTTTACTTTATATATAGGATTTTAATTATAATTTAATTTTAGTTTCTACAGAAAAGATTTTAGAAAACACCTAATATTTCGATTAGAGTATAGATTAAGATTACTTCCAAATTACCCTGTATTGAATGGAGTATCTAAAAATTTTTTGATATTCTTGTTTTTAATTTTTCTATAAAGAGTATTTGATTTTTCATACAAATAAAATTTAGATTACTTTTCTTTGTTATATAGATCTGTTCATAAGAATTTTAAATAATATATATTGCAAGAGTTGAAAAAGTGATTCTAATCATATCAATTTAAATAAAATATGATAAAAATAAATAACATATAAAGTTGTGATCAAAGAGTTTAAATAAGTAATCTCCTAGTTGGGTTGCAGGTATGGCAGCTAGTGTGGAACCTTGGGCAGACTACTTAAATAGATAACCAAAAGTTGCAGGTATAGCTAGTCATACTCTCACTTGTAAAAGTCAGAGAGCT